CCTCCTCCTCCCCCTGATAACCCACTTCCCATTCTCGATCAAACCTGGGGATTGTAGAGTGAGGGTGGAGAAGATGGGAGGAGAGGTGTGTGTGTGTGTGTGTGTGTGTGTGTGTGTGTGTGTGTGTGTGTGTGTGTGTGTGTGTGTGTGTGTGTGTGTGTGTGTGTGTGTGTGTGTGTGTGTGTGTGTGTGTGTGGGGTGGGCGGCACATCCTGCGTGAAACCGCATCCTGAACAAGCATCGCTGCATCTCACTGTAAATAAATACTCTCTCCTCCGCGCCGCTTCCGTCAACTGTCACCGCCTTGGCTCCCAATCACCTTCAAGTCCAAACAGGAAAGTGCAGGGAGGCGAGGCAGACGGCAGATATGAGCTTTCATTTGCTCCTCGCTGCACTTTAGCCCCGCCGCTCAGCGCTTCCTATTCTCTGACCAGCTGCCCCGGCTCCCTTCCAGACCCTCGGTCCTTCCTGTCACCTTTTCATGACTGCATTATCCAGGACGAGGCTCCCTGTGTCGCTGGGAAATCACCTTTGGTGTTGCTGCCCCCCCCCCCCTTTTCCTCCGTTTATGAAGTACTGTAGGAGACGTTCAAAGCCACGCGCCGCATCCTCAGAGGAGCACTGCTGCTTTGTTACCTGCTAATCCCCCCGTGCATTATCACAGGAGATGCAACTGAGCAACAGAGCATGACGGAGGCAACAACGGAGACATGACAAGCTCTCCGTGCATGAAGCGCTTTGTGTCGCCAGGCTGTACATCATTTGATTAGGTATCAAAGCTTGTTATGATGACAAACCAACCTGTGTTCAATAGAATTAAATGTTTTGGATTATAGACACAAAAAGCAACGACTCAATAAAAGGGGATTTATCTGGTAGCAGCGACACTTATCATGAATACTCTTCTTGTTTTATGTGCCATTATCAATGTTTCCGTGAAGAGTGAGAGCATCCAGGCCCACAGTACTCCTCTTGCATTGCCTTATTACACTTCATTGAGTTGAGCTGAAAATTGCATGCAGCTGCTGACTGCAGAGTTTGGCCTGAGCTCGAAAAACCACTCAGTAACTGACCTGTCAACACTGTGAGACAGTTAGCCTGAATGCTGTCTTGTAGGCGTTACATGAGACAAGTTTTTCTTATGTAATGTCATTTCTTACTGATTTCTGAAATTCAAATGGTCATATATAGATTTAAATATCCAAAGATTGTGTTGTCGCAAGAAGAGTTCCACTTTAGGAAAGGGTAAACCTCTACAATTATATTAGGGCCTCTTTAAATTGCCATATAAATCAACATGTTCTGTATATGATAAATATAGCTAAACATGATAACAAAATAAGGGCATCCTGAGCCTTTACTGTTTATTCTGTACACAAAGCCTGAGTTAGAAAAGCACTACATTGTAAGCACTTAAATGCTCCAACAGTGATGACATTCTGCATGTAAAGGATACAATGTGACTTCTATTCAAATGCATAAAACCATGATCTGAGTTAAAGGGTGAAGGAAGTAACACTCAAATAAATTATTCTCACAGTTAAGCATTCTGGATACAACAAGTTGTCTCAGTAAAATAGAGCCTCACTGTTTGAAACAGGAAGAGATGATAACTGTTATTATTTTCCAACCAAATTGGCAGTTAAGATAGGCACTTCATGCAAAGTCATTCATGGAAAAAAAGAACTGTGGGGAACAAGCAACAGATACAAAAAAGCCAAATATTTTGTGTGTTAAGTGTTTTAGCTTTGTAGTCAGAAATAGAGTGCTTTCTTCAGAGCGGCATTTTTTTCTTATGTATTCTATTATTTGTGTTAATTTGTGCCATCTTGATCCTCTCTTCCCCTCTTTGCCTAAGGAAAGGCTCATTGGCCAGACACGTCACATTAAAGAGCAGCGTCTCACTGAGCATGTCACAACCTGCCCAGGGGGGGTGTGAGTGTGTTTATGTGTTATCCTCAGGACCCCCGATTGTTGTTCATTTCCTGTACCAAGATTAAATAAGCACATAGGCCAAAATGTGCTCTTCCTCGGCCCTCACCCACATCACGGCACTTTTCCGCACAAGTGGCTGGCTACGGATAATTATACAATTAAAACAATTCTCCGCATCCATCTGTCAGCCTGATCTAATTCACCAAAGGAATGACACTAATGGAGTTTTTCTGTCTCTCCTTTCCCTCACAACACAGCTCAGAGAAGGAAAACGGAGAGAGTTGTGTTTGTTTAGCAGGATGCTGGTGGATAAAGTTGAGACGCGGCAGTTATTTTTATTACGACCCGCAGTTCAGCAGGGAAATGGGGAGGTTCATTTGATTGTTGGTTCAAATTAACCCTGGGGTGAGGAGAAAAGAAGAACCGGAGTGACCCTCTTATTTTCTGAGACAATACTCGCTTCAACCGAGGCCGACATTAATAATTCATCGTGACAAAATGCATTACCAGGGAAGCTCGAAGTGAAAGGAAGAGTCGACAGAAAAACAGTCACATTAGGGCCGTCGTATAGCGTGTACTTGGGATCAGACCATGCCGATAGGCAAGCCTACATTAAGTTAGCCGGGGGCTGAGGCAAATGTTCGTAGTGGCCAAACGGTGGTACGACAACTTCAATGAGAGACCGTGTCATCATTTAGGCCCAAAAAGACGTAACGGAGCAGATTGGAGGCAGGATTTAAAAAGGGCGCTATTCTGCTTTTTGGGTTTTTCCCTTTCCTTTTGTGTGTTATATAGGTTTCTGTGTTTGTAAATAGTCTGCAAAGGCTACAATCAAAAGTTCCCTCCAACGGGAGTTTCCCCCTGCCTGAAACGCCTCCATTGGACTCCTTTGTTCACTTAAAAGTAACATAATGACATCATTAGGTAACACGAGCACTTATATTGGCTAGCGTCCCAACACTTTGTATAAACTAAGGGGCGGGACATATCTAAGCAGTTGACCAATCACAACAGAGCCGGACAGCTAACCAATCAGAGCTTAAAGCTTGGTAGCAGCAAGTAAAACATGTAATCTTACGGTTTAAATGAACATGCCTTCATATTGAATTTTAAGTGTAGTTTCTGGTCTGAAGAGAAGTATAAACTAACACTGTGTCATTGTAGCACAGCACAGGGTGTGTGAGGGAAACAGGGAGGATTTAGTCAAACTTTGACCTGGATATCCTGCATGTCCGTCCACCCAGCACGCACCAGGAACAGGGATAGGAACCACTCCTACACGAGTTCAAGGGGAAATGCTTGCATGGCGTGGCTGTGCACTCTTACCCAGCAGAGAGTTTTATGTTTATGAGCTCTGCTGATGGGGATGCGCACATCCATTAGATATGAGTCCTCCTATAGAGAAGGGGCTCTGGTATTAACCCACAAGCAAGTGCCCCATCAGCAGAGAGGAAAAAGCTGCCTTTTATGGCAACGGATCAGACACTCAAGCCATTGGCCGCAAAGCCCACAAATGAGGCGTTAAGTGTAGTGGCAGGGCAGCAGAGAGAAATGACCCTCTGCTCAGCCACGCATGAACCTGCCCTCTGCCTCCTTCCCTTTCTCTCCGTCTTGCTCTCTAGCACCTCCCCCAACAAAATAAAAAAGGAATCAAAGCATGCTTAATGGCACGACAACCACCAAATAACAACTGTCGCCTGCAGCAGAATTCATTAAAGTATTGGTGACGTCGCGGCCGTGTAATGTCATTTTTATAATTGAATATTAATTCTTCTTACGCAATATTTGGAGGGATTCCTAATGGACGTTTTCTGTAATTAATTGCCAGATAGAGGCAGGGCGAAGTTAAGAAACACCACCTGACGTGGAGATTGGGAAAGAGAGTGCGGCGAGGCGGCCTGCTGGGAAGGTTTCATCATTGCGCCTGACCCCCCCCTGCTGCTGGAGATGGGGAGATAGACTCCTCTTCACAGTCAGAGATTTAATTGCACGCAGATTCCATTACCTCTGCACAAATGTCACATTCTCTTCTGATCAGGGGGCACGGCAGCCACTGGCAAGCAGCCAGACTGTAGTGCAGAAAGTGCTCAGCCAATCAGAGCTCAGCGTGCGGACAGAGGTGAGCGGAGGGACAGGAAGACGACAGAACGAAGAAGATATTAAAAAACAAAAGGAGAACACAAAGCTGCTGACGGTGCAACTCTGAGATTGAGGGCAATGTGCTGGATTAACAGATATTTAATTAAATGAATTTATTATTGTCATTACTATTATTAATACTATTAAATGTTGGAGCACTAATTCTCATATTAATACATTTGAAAGATATTAAAATTGTGCCATACTCTATTTAAAATGTATTAAATACTTACATCTCAATTATTGACAAGGTTACAGGAAACAGAGTGGATTGACTGGTCGAGGGATTGTTATAGGTGAAAATAGAATTGATGCATGAAAATATAAATGAACGCAAATAAACGTTAATTTGATATTATTACATTTTCACAAGAGATATATTTAAATGAGCGCAGAGTCTTTCTCCAAATACCCTAATATTTAACAGCATTTTTAGACAGATATTGTGCAGTTACAGAGTGGACGGATCCATGTCAGGATGTACATGTAATAATATTACATTAATGATATTATCATATCATTGTTTTAAGCCTATTATTGATATAACTCAGGAATTGTTGCTTCCTCAGACGTTTTAAAGTGGCTCTGATTGGCTTAAGATTTGAAAAACCTTTCTAAATGATTTGGTGTTATTTGTGGGCAGCAATTCAAAGGCCCCACAAACACAGTCTTGGAGTTTCATTTATACAAAAATAATTTGCAATATTGGTCAGTAAAATGGTAATTAGATATTTTCTCCACAACATTCAGGCCTCATCAATGCTCTCTGGACGCAATAAAAGTGATGAAAAGCTCAGAATCGACTGTTGGGATCTGCTTCCAGCTTATTACGGCTCGATACAAATAAGCCTAATAGTCTGACTGAACAGGGTTACACACACACACACACACACACACGAAATAAGAGACATCTTAGTCACACATACCCCGATCACTTGTGCAGTACAGACTGGCACTCCATTCCTCCAATCAGAATCCAGCTCACAGTCTTGAGGGCAGGAGCGCTGAGGACACAGACAGAAAGAGAGAAATAAGGAAGGGGGGAAATACAACCATTACAAACAGGAAGTGAAAGGTGGGGAAAGCCCCTGATCTAGTACAATGAGCCTACATGTACAGAGATGACATAAGAAGTCAAAAAAGTAAAAGTGATCAGCCACAAGTATTTGATTTGTTCTGACGCATTCATTCCTATTGGAGTTGCCTGCATTTAAGCAGCTATGACAGCTATCACACGAAAAATACTAGAAAGATTTTAGAGCTTCATTTCTCACCATAAAACAGTAAACATGTCACATGGTTTCCCTTTGATCTCTGTTTAGAGGGTGTTAGAATTACCCACATGAAAAACATGCGACATCAATATAGCTGTATCTGATGTCATATGTGAAGAAAACATCTAACCACACTAACTGTATTTGTTTCCACTGACTACGAATGTTCATTTTACCATTAAACAACCTCATTTGTATTATTTAAGAAGGATTAGATATACTAGTCATCTTAAAAAACTAATCCAATAACAAGTAAAGTAAGTACGATTTTGAATCAACTCATTACTTCCAAAAATATTTCTTGTACGTTTGAAAAAATGTTCTAGAGAAGAAGCTTGATATTGCTCGATGGAGAGTAATTGGTTGCGTCAAACATTTTTGAGTGATTTGTCTAAATAAATTAAACCCTTAATAGCAGCCTTTTTCATAATTCTTGCAAGCTTTTTCTTAAATCCAGCAAAAATTAATTTACAGTAAAATAGTGGTTATTTTTAAATGTGAGGAATGACAAAATTATCTTTTTAGGCAAGTTTATTTATGTAACACTTATATTTAGAGTTAGAGTTAGTTATTTAGAGTTAGTTATCTTTTGGGTTAAAGGTGGGGTATGTCATCTATTTCAGAAAGACTTTTGTTATATTCCATGGAATGGAACATCCCGATAGCAATGAATAAATGAAATGCTTTGACAAAAAAGAGATTTAAAAAATTCATCAGTGGAAGCCGTAGTGCTGTAAAAAGCACGACCAATCATCTGAGCCGGCCCGGCTAAAGTAACTGGATGGCCTACCTGCCTGTCAGCCTTCCACCTGTGCACAAACTTATCTCGTGCCCTCATTGGTCATGTGCGTGTTCGTGTGTGTTGGAGGAGGGGCTCTGGAAGGAAGTCTGAAGGAAGGGGCAGATTTGTTCCGGTTGTGTGTACTTTCAAATTCTAGCGCACTCGAGCTGGTTTCTCCAAGATGACATACACATAAGTTAACCTTTATGTGTTCACGTAATTGAAACCAGTTCAAATAGAAAAGCCCATAATATTACACACTTTACTCTGCTTTCATTTCATTTCAAACCTTTATTTAAGCAGGTGAATACCATTGAGATCATCGATCTCTGTTTCAAGGGAGACCTCCTGCAAGTAGGTTCCACATGAAGACATAAAACAACAGAAAAACAAAAAGGACATCATACAGCAAAGTTACAGGGATGTACATACCTAACGACATGTACAGATACCAACAGTATCTGATTGCATAGCATCTATCCGAGCTTTAAAAACATGTAGTGGAACCAGATTGCTCAGTTTCCATTCTTTTTGAAGACTGTTCCAAGTTAGTGGAGCTGCGCACCTAAAAGCTTTCGTCCCTAAGACAGTCCTAGCACTAGGCACGTTTAACAAAACCACATCATGAGATCTCAGGCAATAGCTACTTTCAATTCGTCGTGTGATCAGAGAGCAGATGTAAGATGGGAGTTTACCTAACATGGCTTTGCAGATGAACATGTACCAGTGACTGAGCCTCCGTACAGTGAGTGAAGGCAGACCTAACCTGGCATACAGGGTACAGTGATGGGTTAATACTTTACAGTTAGTAACAAATCTCAGTGCGCTGTGATAGGCGGCATCTAACTTGATCAGGTAATAGGCAGGTGCATTCATATAGACCAGATCACCATAGTCCAGCACAGGTCAAAAGGTCACAGAGACTAGCCTTTTCCTGGCCTCAAGCGAGAAACAGGACTTGTTTCTGAGAAAGAAACCTAGCCCTCAGCTTTCTAAGCAGATTATTGACCTGAAGTTTAAAAGAGAGACAATCATCAAGCCAGATACCAAGGTATTTATAACAGGCAACCACTTTGAGTACTTGTCCTTGCATAGTGACAATACCCAAAGTGGTCTCCGGTGTCTTTTTGGCTTGAATGCCATCATTTGTCACACCGGCTATTTGAGTACATTTACTGAATCCAGAATCGATTTTGAATTGGGGATTATTTTGTAACATTTATCGAATCAAATTGAACCATTGTGTACAGACATATTCACACCCCTAACAAACCTCTGGTATAAAACCCAAAGTCTGATTGTTCTGGAGACTGCATTCACATATGCACTGACCTATAAACCCAGCAGTGGTGTTATCATTAGGACTTTTATTTATGATAACATATTTTTTACATAAATGATCCATGATTTGTACCACTACTGAAACATCTGAAACAACACTTTGTTTATTCAGAAAGCTGCTCTTGAGCTAAAAAGCATTCATCTGCGACCAGATAAACAAGTGGGAAGATGCTAATGACTTCCAGATAACGCTTCAGATCATGCAAATGAGGCAGCAGGATGGATGGCTTCTGGCTTTGTCGCTGTCACACGAGTCACGGCTGCATGTGTGGCTTGTTGCCCTGTGATATATGTGTGTACCACTTCTGCTGTTTAATGTGGCCGTGTCTCCGCCACACAATTCAGCTGCCGGTTAATTGGCCTGCTGCTCTACGAGGAAGCGTGTCAGAAACTAAATCTATAACTCTGTTTCTGGGTGTAGCAGTGTACTCCGAGCAGACACAACAAACCACAGGCCCGACGTCCCAACTCCTCGTAATGCACCAGAGTGGAATTCCACTGACTCCATTAGAGCGGCCGTTGTTTCCACAGACGGACCACATTCCTGGGCCTGCCATCGACCCCAGATAAGACCCGTCTGATTGCTCCGTTGCATCCCTGTTATTACTTCCAAAAATATGTTGATCCCGACTGACAACTGTCCTTTAGAGCATTTATGGCTGTGCTATTGATTCCCCAAGCCCCTCAAAAGGAGCGATTGTTTTGTTTTTTTAAAGTTAGGGTTAGCCACCGGTGCCTTTGTTAAAGAGACAGATTTCAAAGGGGGTGAGCAAGTAAATAGTCGATATAATAATCAAACCCAGGTAAGCCAAGCAACTCTACAAGTTTGAATGCAACTCTACCAGGTAAGATATCGAGCAGCCTGTAGCAATTCCTTTTAAAGAGGCCCTATTGACATCACTTTGTAAGACTCACACTTCTATTGTCTAGCACTCCAACACATTGTACGTGATAGGCTAAGGGGCGGGACATCTCTAATGCCCCGGCCACACGAGGACGAAAACGGCCGTTTGCGTTAATGTTTAGTGTCATATAGACCATTCGGCCACACGAGGACGACCGAATACGGCACTAAACGACTGAGGAACCGAAAACGGGTCCCAAGGTGGATAGAACGGCATACGCAACGCTCTGGGGGGGTCAAACGGCTCCGTGTGTGCGCCCTATACGAACATTTTCTGATAGTGATTGCGCAATAGCCCCGCCTCTCCCCACCTCTGCTGCTCACCCCCGCGTCAAAGTAAACTGCACACTGAATTCAGATTATTTATCTTTCTCTCGATATGGACATAAACGCGAGTGAAGTCTAATCTGACAGGACGGAGACACCTCTCAAACTACCTAGTTATAAATATGTTTATTTTTTACTGTCGGCCGGGTCACTCATTACTGGATCAGCTGCTGCATGAGACAGACACTGGGCTGTCCGAAGAGAGGGAGGAAAAAGAGAGGCTCCGTGTATCTTATTATTATAATATATAGATTCGTTATTCATTTGTTTTAAAGCTCAATAAATAACAAAGAAGACCTTTGACCGGTACTTTTATAATTTTGTCGGAAGATTTAAACTTTAATACACGTTGACTGGCGAAAAACTCTGCCCGATTCCCTCGGCCCCCACCGCGGAGAATAAACAGAAGGGCAACCATGACAACCATGCTTCTTCGCTGGTTTTGTGGAGGAAGTTACAGCGCCACGTACAGGCTCCTGCATATGTACTGCAGCTTCTCCAGCGGTTGGAGCTAAACGGAGCGGTCTCGTGTGGACAGACACTATCCGGATGACTATTGCGTGTGGACGGAAGCTTGTTTGCGATTGCGTTTGCATTAATCCTATGCGTTTAGCCGTTTTCGTCCTCGTGTGGCCAGGGTCTAGGCGGAGGACCAATCACAACAATGCCGGCCAGCTAACCAATCAGAGCAGACTGATCTCTGGTTTCAGACAGAGGGTGAAAAGTGGTGCTGCAGCACAGGCAGTAGAGACACAAAATACAAATATGACACACTGAAAATGAGCAGAATAAAAACCCTTTAAAGTTACCCTCACTTTGAAATATACAGCTGGCATCTACTGGTTGCCATGTCTCCCACAAACAAAGTACTCAAGCTTAACTCCATGAAAAGATTCAAAAGAGAGTTTTATGTGCAGTCTCAGATGTTAAAACAGCACTGGTGCAAAGACTTAAGAGGTAGCTCCGATTTAAAATCTTTATTGCAAATTAACAAGCAGTGGATTTTAAAATGTGGTTAGGTTTCACTGTGTAATTTGTCCATACAAAAAAAGACTAAACAACCAAACACTTTAAGATATACTGCAAACAAAAACATCGACAAAGTGGAACTTTTTTTATACCTCCAACTTTAAAGCTTTCTCACTCTGTGGGCCTTTTGCATGCCAGCTGCTCGACACTTGACTCACTCCTGCTCTGGAAACATGTGGTTGTAATCCCCTCTTTTCACTCAAATTACAAACTGTGTCAGTTTCTGAGGAAACTTCACATCCAGCCACTTTGCAGCATGTGTGTTAATTGCCACTCATTTGTGAGTTTCCAGGCAAAGTAGACAGGCATTTGAAGCTGTCCATCCTTGTTGAGGGTTACGAGAAGGGT